ACGCTACTATATAGATAGGTATCAGTTGAATACAGTGTTTTATTAATATATATTTACAATTTTAAAGCAATTTGGAAGCCTACCAGTGCATCAATTGCTATAATAAAATAAATTCTAAATACCTACACATTTTGGTATTTGATTCTGGGATTTTTATCTTGGAAAATCAGAGCTCTCTCTGCCTCCTTCATTTGCCAGGACAGTCCAGCTGTGGCAGTCCCCCTTGTTGCTTTGTGGGGCTGAGCAGCCCTGATATGCTGCCCTTCCCCTACTCATGCTGTTGCCCCTCCCAACCCACAGCTCTCCCAGCCCCACTGGTGCCTCTCACTCCCAATCTGCAGCCTCCAGATCCCAGCCCCCCAGTGTGTGAGGAACGGAGGGGAGTAACCACAGGTGATGTATAGTGGGGTACAGGCAACGTGAGGGGTGCATGTAGCCCCCCACCCCACAGGTTTCTGCACCCACACCAGACCAGACCAGCTCTGGGCAGGAGCTGCTTCTGCAGCGCAGCGGGCAGAACCTGATGTGGGAGGGACTGCCAAGGTGAGGCGCAGCAACAGTGGCAGCGTGGAGTTGTGCTGGGTGCACCTCACCTTGGCAGTGGCAGTACGGCAGTCCTTCCTGTGCTGGGTCCTGCCTACTGGGTAGCAGAGGCAGCTCCTGCCCAGAGCTGGTCCAGCTAGGCTGCAGCCCTGTGCCCTGCCATGGACACAGAAATCTGAGGGGGCCCATGACCCTCCATGTGTCACCTGTGCTGCCCTTGCCCCCATAGACTTACCTGGCGGGAGCTGTGGGAGCTGCTCTCCACCATACTGCCTGCCTGTCGTGCATATGTGTGCATGCACATGCATGTGGCGATTGCTGCTTCCTACTCCCCCCCAGCCCCAAGTAGCCCCTTGCAGGCTGGAACACTGTCAGCCTGCAAGGGGAAACCTGTGGTGTCACAGGTTTTTCTTCTGTAAAGGAGAAAATCTGTTTTTTCTGCAGCAAAGTGAAATCCCAGATCCTTGCTGATGAGCCATAGTCTCCTACAAGGTACAGCTCTTTGCAGATCATGAATTCAGAGCCCAAGCTAAGACTTCTAAACATTAATTTAAGTAGCCTACTTTTCACAGGTACTGAGCAGTTACTGGGTTTTGTGCTTCTCTTCTCTGCACTCGTAAATAACTGGCCGTTTTGAAGTTGAGCTCCAGTATCTAGATTTATCCACCAGTTTTGAAATCCCCTAATAACAAAGATCCCAAAACTACTTCTGAGGTTAAATTCTTGAAGGATGGTAGGAGGTAGTTCAATCTGTTCAGCTGTAATGCTGTAAAAATCTTGTACCTGACATGTTTGGTATGAGAAGGTGCGTCGAAGCATGGGAAACCCTGCAACAGAAAGAGGAAAAGAATTGTGATTCTCCTTCTCCCTCCACTCCCCCCCCCCAAGACAAATTAGGCTAGAATTCAAGTGCATGGGTTTACAGTGTTTAAGTAGTCAATTGCAAAAGGAATTTAACAAAATCAAAGTTGGGAGGAAAGCTGACAGACCTACAAGGCAATCCAAAGTAAGTGATCCCCACAGATGATAAAACATTAATACTTGCTCTAGTTGGAAGGCTATTGGAATGTTAATGTCACTGAAATAATAGACCAGCAGAAGCAACCTAAGTATGTAATGTTTTGTAATAAGACTTAATCTGGTTTTTATTGCAGGTCTAAGCTGTAGCACCTGTATGACCTCACTGTATGGAGGAACAAATAATCTTTCTAGGTCATATTCTGATGAATCGAATTTCTATGAAAAAATAAAAGGCAAAGAACCCACCCATGTTTATCTTACAGAAGAAGAGTTCAGTACAGCTGCCTTTATGTCTGCTGCATCTCTTCGTTCAATGAATCTACCAGTTGTGGAAATGGGAAGTGCAGAAAATACAGTTTTCTCAGCCACTCTTCCAGGACCTGGGGATCCTGGAGGACCCCCTCTTCCTCCAGATCTGCAGTCTGAACAACAAGAAGCCTGTACCAGCTCAAGTGACAATCTTTTTCTGCCTTTGAGATCACGTTCTCTTCTACCGCAGTGATCTTCAGTGATACTTTTTTTTAAAGTCTTTTCTTTCAAAGAGCCCACTGCTTGAATAGGTGTGGAAATTGCAAATTCGGACAAATAGTGTGTGATTTGCAACACATCTTTTTTTAAAAAAGCTCTTTTGTCTAATGTTTTCATTACTTTTTGGAAGCCTTAAAAACATCACTGGTGCTGTACTTTAGTTTTAACTTGATATTTTGGGTTTCATATTTTAACCTAGGCTGCAAATACTTGAGCTGCACTACTGGAATCTGCTGTATTGTATATTTTTGTGAAAAATCAAAGAAAAAAAGAGGGCTAAAAAAGAACCTGTAAAAAAGCAGATTACTTTAGAATTCTAATTTTCTACTGTTTCTAAATGGTTAAATTTGTTTAACAGTCTTATTTTTCTGTGAGAGAAACTCTACCTCCACCCTTATGTGGAGCTCTCATTGCTAGAGATCTACCAAACTTAAGGAGGTGGCCAGCCATTTTTGTGGCAGATCCTGGGGCTGGCTGCCATTTTCACGGGGTGAGCATGGCACCATGCCTTTGGCCAAGGGGCCCCATCAGTTCCACACCTCCCCAGTGATTGCCATGTTGCCCAAAAAACCTGCAGCTTAGTTAGCCTGATTAAGCCTGGGGAAGCCACTAATACATTTATTAAGTGTAGATTAGTGGCTTCCCATGGCTTAATCAAGGTAATTAAGCCACAGTTTTGTGCCATCCCTAAGTGGCAGGCTCTGCAATTTTGGTGGGCTTGCTGCAAAAAAGAACACCGCCCCCCCCCCCAAATTGCTGGCAAGCAGAGAAAAAGCCAGGAACCCCTGTAGTCTTCAACTGGGGGGTGGGGCGGCAGGTCTGCTCGCAGCAGATGTGGAGGCAGCCTCTGCCTCCTGCTGCAACCAGACCTGCCTTACCCCTCTCCCTTCCCCCTGTGCTTGAAGACTGCAGGGCTTCCCAACCTTTTCTCTTCTTGCCACTAAATTATGTTTTGTAGCAAGCTTGCCAAAATTGCAGAGCCTGCCCAAAATTGCAGTTTCTGTAAATATGGCGCAGTTGCAATTTCTTTAGGTCCCTACTCATTGCCAAGCCAGAATTTGCCCTTCTGTAGCAGTATATTGATGCTTATTTCCAAATAATTCTGTTTAGTTTTCCAAACTCTCTTTATCCAGATGATATGAAAGTGAAAAGTATGCAGATATCACTTTAATTTGGTTTAGCATATGCTAAATATGCTTTCACATGGCTCCAAATCTTGTCTTTTATGTAATATATCAAAATAACTGGCTTGAGTCGCACTTTTAAAATGAATTGTCATGAATTGTAGAAAGGAATATAAGGTACTGTAACCACTCTAAACTACTCAGAAGACTGAGGGGTTGTTTTGCAGTCCAGGTAGTTAAATTCACACCATATAGTAGCACGTTTACATTGCAAGTGGCTTAGAGTCCAAAACATAGTTTAAAAATTATTTTTAACATGGGAGAGTTCTCAGATTGCCAGCTATGCTACCCTGTGCTTTACATCTCTTCAGTTCTAATACTCGCTTTGTAAAACTGACTGTTGATATGATCAAGTGTACAAATGCAGAATGAAGCTTAACCTTATGTATGCAGTGAGAAAAGTGCTCTTAGGCATATTTTAAAGGACTGTTTTAGTTTATCGAATTCAGTTGAGCTTGGCTATTTAGAGTCTTCTAATGCTGGTATAGCACTATTGCAGGAGTGTTCTGCTTTGTCTGAAGCCCGTGTTCCTTTTCTAATCCTGGTTCTGGTGTTGCAGAGGCATAAAGGAGGCTGATGTCTTGGGCCTCAGCACAGCCAGCAGAGTGACCTGTAAATGTGTGCAGGTCTGTTGAGATTAAGGAGATTATTCTGTGGAAACATCTTAAGTATATTAACGAAGAAGCTTGCATGTGACAACAAATACAGGCTCTTACTAATGTATATAGCAGTCCTCTTCTGTTTCCCATCTATTTAAGACGTGCAGGGATAGATTTTTCAGTAATACTCAAGTACTAACTGTAATGGGCATTATATGCTTAAATACCTTTGAAAAAAATTGGCCCTTTGTGTCTGGTTTAAAAAAAACCTGCAGATCCCATTGACTTGGGCTGGAGTTGTGCATGTTTAAATGCCCCTCCAATTTGAACATTCCAGGTACCTTTTTATGAATTATGCAGGTAATCTCATAATTTATTTTGGAGTTCCCTTGTTGGAAGGGTCTGTGGAACTTGTGCTTACAAACTAAGCCTGGATCTAATCCTGAGAATTCTCTTCACTTCCAGGGACCAACCAATGCCCTTCCTCTTAAAAACAGAAAAACTTCTTTGGGAGCAGGAGGAAATGCATAGGAGCTGAGGTGCTTAATTTTGGATAAGATAATGTTCTGTGATTAAATTCTTCCCCTCCCACCCTCTTTTGGAATTTCCTTAAAGGAGAGGGAGGTTGGGACCCCTCATAAAGCAAGAATATGTATCAGTTCAAGATGGATATTAGTTAGCTAACAAACCTTGAACAAATATCAGTAACGAATATGATGTACACTGCACAGTCTACACGTGTAGTGATCACTGTTTAAACAAATGTGTATAATATGACCAAATACTTGGAATTGGTGTACTTTTCAATGTGAGATTTTTATCGTGAAATAAAAAATTTTGCATACTTGTCTATTTGGTACTTCTCCACAACTATTATTTTAAAAATTGAAATAAATAAACAAACTTTGTCTTTTCGTGTGAGGCACCCATCCTAAGTACCTATATATTTTTTTCAACAGGCTGACTTACCTGGTTTAATTTAGAGAACAATGCAAGAAAATGTTGTCAATTCTGTGTCTAAGAACAGATGCTTATTGGAATAGGTATCTAATTGCTATAACCTGATTTGACTGAAAAAAGGTTAAGCACTCACTGATCCATTTGTCCACCAGCTGAATGGGCTTCCTCCTTCACTGCTGTTGGAGAGAAGGTGAGGGGCTAGAAATTAATTTAGGCCTGTGGTTGTTACTTTTAGGATTGATGCCTAGCTACTATGAGCCCATTTCCTTATTTAGTTGAAACAATTTTATTCAGCTGATAAAACCACAAACCTTCAAGCATATGGGAAACTAATTAGAAAAGGAGCAGGTTGCAGTGCATAATTTAGCACAGGAAATGTTCTGCCACAGGATGTAGAATGGGGGTGCTCTATAGCCTTGGAGTCAGCTACATCCCCTGGACCACGTGGCTCTCCATGGGTCCAAGAGTTTGGTAGTGGGCGGGTAGTGGCAGCAGTAATTGGTATTCCCCTGCTGCCAAATTTCAGGCCCCTTGGGACCTTGCAGGCTGCTAGATGGACTAGCTGTGCCACTCCTGCCCACAGGGCAAAAGCTTGAATATAGTTGTGGTACAGTCGGTGCATATAATTGGGTGGATCCTCAGGGCTGTGCAAAACTTCCCCTGTGTTTTGTTTCGAAGCTGTTTCAGTGTGTTTTAGCTCGAAACAGTGAAATTGAAATGAAACAAAAGCTTTCAAAACAAAACAAAGGCACTAGAAACATTTTGAAGTCAGGTTTACTTGGCTTCAGTACCGGCCCCAGCTGGCGGCAGCAGCAGCCTCCTGTGATCCAGCAAGTAGGTGGGGCTTGCTCGTACCTCTATAGGGGCTGTGCCGGACTGCTCCTGGGGGTGCAGGCCCCTGATCTGCCTGCCAGATCATAGGAGGCTGGTGCTAGCAGCGGTGATCTTCCCGGCACTGGGTGCAGAATAGCCCGTGAGCAAAATGTTGAAACAGCGAAACAGTTTTGACGAAACAGAACAGTGCTTCAAAATGAAATGCAACTTGATATGAAGCGCTGTTCCCTCGAAGCAGAAGTTCTGTTTTTGCACAGCCCTAATTCTCGGCTGCCCGGAGGGCCCCACAGGCCAAAGGAGTTTCCGATCCAGCTCTCAGCCCTTACATGCGACACCCCTACTCTATAAAGCACCTGGTGCTTGAGACCAGGGTGTGGGGCCGCATTTCGATGCAGGGTGATTCACTTCGATTCAAGAGGCAGGAGGCACTGAGAAAGGTCGAGCTGGTTCATGGTTTAGTTCTCTCTAAAGAAGGTCCTGGCAGACCACAGCGGTTACCGTGTGACGGGCAAGTGAAACCGCCTCGGTTTTGGACCTGCCCAAACTAGGGGAAATGTCTCAAGAGAATCGTACAATGGCACCAGCTGACCTCGGGCGGACTGAAGCCTCGTTGCGGTCGGGGAGGCGAGAGGGGCGCACGTGGCAGGAAGCGCTGCCCGGCGGGGTCACGACCTAAGCCGCGGTCTCCGGCCTGAGCTCCCGTTTCTCTGTGGCCCAAACAGTGCACACGAGGGGGCGGCCTCCGACGCGGCTCCGCCCTGCCAGCGA